CTCCCCCCCCCCCCCCCCCCCCCCCCCCCCTTTCCGGGCAAAATCCACCCCCAGCCTTTGACTTCCCCTACCCCCCCAGTATGCGAGGGTCGCGATTCGATGTGTAGCAGAGGTGACGAAAGGGACTGACATCGACGTCTTCATCATGAAAAAGGACAAAGGGGTCGAAAACGGGCCGACGTTGGGGTCGAAAAAGGGACAGGCAAAACAAAAAGAGGCCAGCGATGGAAAAAAATAAACAAAAAGTGGTCTGCTGGGGATTGAACAATTCATTTGAAATTCAGAGTTGGCTAACTTATTGTGAAGTATCATTTGAAACGATTTAGTTTTTGGTGATGAACTTTTATTTGAAAAACGATTGAGAATTTGTGAGCGCAAATGAACTGATCGACCTGCCGTCGTTCGCAAACGATCGATTTGATCAGTGCTAGGTTGTAGGTTGACATAGACGGACTACGTCGTTTGCTTCTTGATTGATCCTCCTTTCTGGGTTGAGGAGGGGCCTCCGAAGAAGAAGAAGGGGGGGGGGGGGGGGGGAAGGAAGGGAAGGATTTGGAAGCGAGATCCCTAATTGGAAACGACGAAAGTCATCAGGAGCATAAAAAGCTACTCCCAACCCCTCCAAAAGAGATCATGATCTTCAAAAGGATACCAACGTTACAAACAAGAGTGCAGAATAACCTTTACAAGAAGTCATAACATAAAATACAAACAAGAGTGCAGAACAAGACTTGGGGAAGAGACGGGGGGGAGGGGGGGGTGACCGAGACGGGAAAGGGGAAGGGAACGCGGACGGAGATGGGCCAGTGAAGAAACAAAAGGGCTGTGTTAGGACAAAAGACACGTTGGGCAAAGAGCACGTGATAGAAGAAAGCATTGGAAAATCAGGGTTCATAAACGAAATGAAAAACCAGGGCGAAGAGCACGTGGGCAAAGAGCGTGGACGAGGGAGGCGTACAAGAAAATGCATGTAAAAGAGCACGTGGGCAAACATTGAAAAGGAGATGTCAAAGAACATGATACGAAGCAATGGAAAAAGAGGAAATGCTGAGTCAGTGGATTGCAAAAAATGCCGTAGAAACACAGAGACGATGTAGCAGCCACTCTGTTACAGAGAACGGAAGAGGATGGAAGAAGACGGAAGTGGATGGCAGAGATTGGTCAAAAGGGTGCAAAAGATCATGAGGAAGGGCAGGATGGACGACGGGAAATGAAAGGCGGGATGGAAGAGAGAATGTAGAGGATGCAGGGTGAAAGAGGTGGGATGAAGAACGGGGAAGCGTGATCGGATGGTAGAGGATGGAAGCGAATGGGAGAGAAGATGGGAGAGAAGATGGGAGAGGGTTGGAGAGCGTATTGGAGAACGGATGGGAGAGGATGGGGATGGGAGACGAGGCAGTACAAAGGAGAGGACGGGAGAAAGGATTAGAGAGAAAGATTGGAGGGAAGTGGGGAGAGGATGAGAAGAATAGGAGAGGATGGCAGAGAGATGGGGGACGATATGAGAGAGGATGCGAGACGATGGGACAGCGGAGAGGACAGAAAAATGGGACGACGAGAGAGGAGATGCGAGAGAGGATGAGAGAGGACGGGTCTCCTCTCCCGTCCTCTGCCGGCCCGTCCTCTCCCATCCTCTCTCTCATGTCCTCTCCACTGTCCCATCCCTCTCGCATCCTCTCTCATATCGTCCCCCATCCTCTCTGCCATCCTCTCCTATTCTTCTCATCCTCTCCCCACTTCCCTCCAATCTTCTCTCTAATCCTTTCTTCCGTCCTCTCCTTTGTCCTGTCTTGTCTCCCATCCCCATCCTCTTCCATCCGTTCTCCAATACGCTCCCCAACCCTCTGGAAAAACAAATGGGAGAGAAGATGGGAGAGAAGATGGGAGAGAAGATGGGAGAGAAGATGGGAGAAAAAATGGGAGAAAAAATGGGAGAGGATGGGAGAGAAGATGGGAGAGGATGGGAGAGAATGGGAGGAATGAGGGGGAAAGACGAGAGAGGATGTCAGAGACTGGAAGAGGACGCGAGAGGACGGGAGAGAAAATGGGGAGAAGATGGAAGAGAAGATGGGAGAGAACACGGAAGAGAAGATAGGAGGGGATGGCAGCGAAAAACAATATATAATAATGGGAGAGAAGATGGGAGAGAACACGGAAGAGAAAATGAGGGGATGGCAGCGGAAAAAAAATAGAATAATGACAGGCGGAATGGGAAAAAAGCAGACATTATGAAAGTACGAAGATCAAAGACGAAGCAGACAACGAAATGGAAGAGAGGGGGACAGAATGGAAGAGAACGGCACGCAACGCAAGACGATGGAAGACAGGATGCGAGAAAGGATGATGGAAAAGGAAGGAAGAGAGGACGCAGGAACAGACGGGAGATATGATCGGAGATAGGATGGACGACAGGACAAAGTGAAGTTCAACAACGAAAGCAAAGGGAGAAAAAGGGAGAGGTGGGAAGGGGGGGACGGGGGGGGCGCCGGGTTTCCAGGATAAGAGAGTTGGACACAAATAATGAAACAAGATGTAGACAAGGCCACGATTTCATATCTCAGATTAGAATGGAGGAAACAGGAACGGTGGCGTGAGAACAGAGAAAAGGACGTTGCGAAAGACAGCATGATGCACCCACCATACGGTGACGTCTCTAAAGGCGCCATTCACAAATGAGACGAATACCAAGAATGTGCGAGACAACGAATGTGCGAGTCATTATGAATGCATATGAGCCGTCTTCCTGGTTAGATGCAGTCACATTGTCTGGACGTTTCGATCGGAGAAAGAAGGTAGTAAGCTAGAAAACTCAGGAACTCTCGTTGTCGCTATTGATGTTGGTTCGTGCTTTATGGCATTTTCACTAGTTACACAAAACACAAAGGGTCCAAATATGATTTAAAAGAAAAAGAAAAAGAAAAAAAAAATCATTCTCATCACAACAGAGAGAACCGGAAGGTTGGACACAAAGGGTCAATGTGAAACTTTATAGTATTTTCAGTCAATACGGGAGAAGGATTGCATTTCTTACTCTCATGTTGCCATGAGAGCGACCCATCTTGCAGACACAGACAGACAGCCCAACCTGAACGCACACTGCGATAGGATAGCACCCTGCGTAGCACACCACCAATTTGGCCTCGCCGCACCATTCGAACAAATGCCAACTTTTTTTTTTTTTTTTTTTTTTCCAAAGAAATCACTTTCATCAAATGTAGCACCCTGCGTAGCACACCACCAATTTGGGCTCGCCGCACCATTCGAACAAATGCCAACTTCTTTTTTTTTTTTTTTTTTTTTCTACAAAGAAATCACTTTCATCAAATGCCAACATTTTGAATGTATCTGAAGCCGGTATCGGTGCTTCTACGTTTCAAAATGTTGGCGTTTGGCGAGTGGACCTTTCGAATAATTGGGTCGGTCGGTATCGCCGACCCAATTACTACTTCGATAATAAAAACTAATTTGCTGCTTCATTGGGGGATTTATTGTGCTTGTCCCGCCCACTCTCTCCGGGTCAACCCGCCTCCCTTGCCGATGCCACTGACAAAAGAAGGGAGGGAGAAAGGTCGAAATGTCACACGTCTGCACAGTTAAAGGGCACATCTGCACAGTTAAAGGGGACATCTGCACAGCTAAAGGGATGGAATTTGGTGTGGTCTAAGGCGAAGGAGGTTAAGGGTTCAAACCCTTTTTTTCGCCGTTTCAGAAATGCTGCGATTTTCCATACATCAACAAAAAAAGGGGGGCAAAAGGCTGAGGTCAAGGCTTGAACGCTACACGACGTCCACGCATTGATGGCAAGAGAACGGAAGAGTACAGTCTGACAGGTGCGAACAAAACACTTCTAGACTTTTTTTTTTCGAACTCCCCGCAGTTAAAAAAATTATTTTCCTTCAGTTAAGGAGGTCGCGGGTTCAAACCCCTTTGGGCAGACAGATTTTTTTTTTCCTTCGGTTAGATGACATACAGCAAGATATTTTTCGATGTTGCTGCGATAAAATACTGTATGTTTGTCCGTCGTCAGTTGCTGCCCACTGAATTTCGGAATTCAATCACATCGATTGTCCAAGGAACCTTTCACGATAACCATACACGTCCAAGATAACACGAGTAGTCTTTCTCGTATTAAGACCGAAAGACAAAAGAAAAAAAAAACGACCAAACGACCGAACGACCTCCATTTCCATCGAGATCGATACTTTTCAACCATACCCTTCTCCTCTCGGCCCGTGGATAGAGGGGAATGAATGGAGTTCGTGGGCACAAAGAAAGAACAATATTTGGAGGAAAAGTAGAGGAACTAGCGAGACAGAGACATAACGACAGGGACTACGGATGGCGGGAAAAGGAAATCGCAGGAGAAAGGAAACGACGGGAAAAGGAAATCGCGGAGAAAGGAAACGGCGGGAAAACGAAGAGGAATTAGCGAGTCAGAGACGTAAGGACAGGAAGTAATCAGCCCACGTGGCTGAGCGGAATTAGCGATTGGCAGGAAAAGAGAATGGCAGGATGAAAGAGGATATGCATGCGGTCGATCGCGGACAAAGGAAACGGCGACAGTAGGATTTGAACCTTCAACCAGATGGGAGAGAGGGATGAATACCGTTAATCAGCCCATGCATTGTCCGATGAAAAAGAAACGAAAAGGAGGACAACACCGTTAATCAGCCCACGTGGCTGAGCGGTAACGCATGTAATAACTGTTAATCAGCACGTCACGAGTTCGAGTCCACGTGGCTGGCGGGAGTACAAATTTTTAAACCTACAACATTCAGATTATATGAGCCTGACGACCCGTGGTGTGGAATCAGGCGTATACGACCAAGCTAGGGAAAACCCTTTATAATTAACCAACACAAAAAAAGAAAACCAAAAAGAAAGGGACAACAGGAAAAGGGGCTGTACAATCAAAAGGACGATACCACGACAAAAAAGAGAAAAAAAAAAAAGAGACAAACAAAAGGACGAAATGTTTTAGAGTTATGAGTGTTACTTGCCCGAGCTTCGCTTCTGGCTTGCTCCATGAGAAAGAAGGCCGCCGCCCAACACCTCCTCTCTTATCTTCGCGTACGAATGACAACCCTACGATGAAGCCCTCGCCTACCTCTCATGGCACGTGCACCCGAGCTCTGGTCAAATGCTTCCCGCCAAATTCGTAGTTCCCGCGCACTCTCTCACTTTAGATTCCCGCGCACTTTTTGGGTTGATGGCTTATCTTGCCCCACTGATTGACATATTGATGCAACCAGATTCGACTGGATTTTGTCGCTGCTGAGTTCAAGAGTCTCGCGCCGGGTTTCCCTTACGGATCAGCACCACCACAGACCCTTATTTTTCACGGCAACAAAAACACGACACGTTGTCGGGTATTCACAACAGACAGCCAGCGAGGAAAAGCCCCGCGCACACAACAAACCCATATCATCAGCCCTCCCACCCAACGCACTCACCCTTCCAGTCAATCACTAGTGCGCTCACCCGCTCGCTCGTTCATTCTCTTCGCCCAATTGAATCCGCCACCGCTTTGTTAGGCGTCCCCATCCTCCCACACCCCTTCCCCTCCCCCTCTTGCGCGCATTTCCGACTATCCTCCGCTTCAAAATATTTTTCGCGCACGGGAGTCGAACAGCTGACGTGTGAGCTGACTGGCGAGACGCCCCCCCCCCCCACAGTCAAGCTTCCTCCAACAGCACAACTCCCGCGTCCGTCGCGAACGGAGGACCGCCCGGACGTCGGAACGTAAATGATTACCAATACCCCAGCTCGAGGAGGGAGGGGAGAGCGCAAATTTTCCACCTCCCTCCCTCCCTTCCTCTACACCCGTGCGTATGACCTCTCTCTCTCTCTCTCTCTCTCTCTCTCTCTCTCTCTCTCTCTCTCTCTCTCTCTCTCTCTCTCAACGCTTTCCGTTGTCAGTCTGACGCGGCACGTAGGCCAAACCGCCTCCAAACTCTCACTCTCGATTCTTCAGCGTCCCCTCCCGACCCCTTGGGGAAAGAAGGAAGAGCGCACGCGTGCGCGGGCGCGAAGACTTGCGAGCGACGACGGGCGCGACAACGAGGAAAATAGAATAGAAATAAACGCAGTCCGCTCCGCAAAACGAAATGAATCAACAACAAGCGAACACCCCTCTCAACCGCGAGGTTGGCAACGGAAAAGCACTGAGAGCAGCGCACTCCCGGCGCTTACCACGGCGAACCCCTACATCCGATAGCGGGGGACTCTTTCCGCTTGTAGCAGGGTCTCGTCAACGAGGGGAGACCGTCAGCTGTCGGCGGCGGTTCCCAGAACTACCAATTGAGGGAACAAGATTTGACGTTGACGTCAATTAGACTGAGTAAGCCTTTAAGTCCGCCACGAGGATAGCCTCCATAGCAGCCATAGCTGTAGAGAATCGCCGCCTTTTCCCTCCAATCGACTAAGGTGATTTTACTGTAATCTGTTGATTGGTTTTATTAGGTCTGATCAGATTACGCAATCATCGTCAGCCGTCAACTCCAACCAACTGATCCGACATCCTTCTTCCCGGTCGCGTGGTCGCCGCGTTCGTCGGTCGGTTTGTCCATCACGAAGTCGGTCAATCGGTCGCCCCATCGAGGATGGCTCTTGAACAACCGCCTGTTTTCTGATTCTCATTACCCTTTCCGACCTATTAATAAATAATTGATAAGCCTGTTTTCCAATTTACGTTATGTCGTTTGTTCATACATGTGCCTCGCTATGCTACCGCTATCAGGTCATCAAACACGGACGTTGCCTCGGTCCTCCCTTGTGGGCGGGCCCCACTAGCCCGCCGAAGCTCTCTACCGTAGATCGATCGAACAGAGGGCTAGAGAATGGGGAATCGTCATCATCGGGTGGCGATAGTCTCAGCGAGATCACCCCAATGCTTCCAAGCTCAGGTATACAGACCCTAATTGACAACAAGAAACCCCCTCCCCATAATTAATGTGAGGTCGGTCGGCCGAGAGCAGGAGCTGCGCAGCGCCTACCGGTAGGCCGTGCGTGAGCAGTAATGTCCTCCCCACCCACTCCAATGTGCCCGCCTCCACTAAGTTCGCCGCGCAAAAGGCGGGAAGAAGCCGACCCTGTGTGAACTCATTTTACGGCTCCTACGCAAGTAGTGCCCCCCCTCCCAGCGGTTCCTTAGCAACCGTGGACATTGTGGTGTGCGCTCGCCCGTTCGTTAGAACAGCAGAATACTATTATCTCCGCCACGTCAACGTAAGCGGGGGAAGGTCTGTATCGTCCGTCCGCCGATACATACCCTGATAGCAACCCTGCACAGCAATGTGACCAAAGGCAAAACGCAAATCAAATCCCTAGCGGAGTACGCGAGCCTCTCGGCCCGGTGCATGTCCAAAGTGCTCAGCCCCAAAACTGGATTCCGAAAGCAACCATCCCACTCGCAAAGCTGACGGACAGAAAGCAACCAGCTGGGAACGAAAATCCCAATGGTCGGACCTCCTACAAGAGAGAAGCAGGCTCGTGAAATACGCCCCTGGCGTCATCGCTGCCATCCGATAGGAGCACCAAGGCCACTCCAACGAGGTTGAGTCTAAAATGTCCTGGAAGCGCAGTCACAGAGCTGCTTGGGTCTATGCAAAAGACCTGCAGGCTAAGGGCCTGATCCGATTTCTTTCACGCCATGCACTTTCAGGCAAACTTCAGGATCCCACTTCTTTCAGCGTGTGTAGGAGGCAGCCCTGTTTTGTTGCGGCAATGGCGATCGGTGGCCTGGTGGTTCTTCAAAATGGAAAGATGCCCGTGTGACACCGCTTCTGGAACCGATGGGTGTCCCACCTGCAGTACCATTTTCCCTTTGAGGAAAAAAAAAAATGTTGACGGCACACCGAAGCAAAGTCCTTGGCTTCGAAGTTCCGCGCATGCTCCCCTGCCAACTCAAGAAGTTGATGTGCACAGGCAGGCGCTGACCCACGTCACTTCACTTTCACCAAACCGCCGGTTCACTCCGCCGTTGACTCGAAAGTTGGTTAAAAATTAATATAGGCCCCAGCCATGCAGCGAGGGCGACCAAAATAACATATTTGCCTACCGTAGCGGGCTATGCGGCCAAAGTTGGCCTAATCCTACCTTTAAAACGGACCATGGGCTCGTTACACTGGCTACACTAAGCTTGACCCTCTACTTACGGTTGGTTTGTTCCTCTTCTACTCGAAGTAGGAGCTAGCTCAGTAGGTTCACCTGGGGAGCTGCAACCTGTGGATACGGAGATCAGGCCAACTCCTTTTGGTGGGAAACGAGATAGACCTCACCCTTTCAACTCCACCTCCGATCGATCAGGGCTTGAAACCGTTATCGGAGCAAAATACCCTTACAAGGGTATTTGCCCATGCTACACAGGCTAAGAAAAGGACAGTGTTAGTGAAAATGCCCTTCGACCGATAAAGCCGAGTGCGTTAGTTAACTGAATAAATAAATAATTAAGTTGGCACGCCAACCTCGATGGTTGGAATGCACCTAAGTTGGATATGTACAAGACGCACTCCTTGCAACAACGCGTGATAAAATAACATCGTAGAAGGTGAAGACTTGTAGGATGTGTGAGGCCTTCGCCGATGGCATCGTGAGGTTGGGTTCGTCATAAGGTTGACTTGTTGGAATACACGTTTGTCCATGTCGTGTGCCCCATGGACTCGTCTTGGTATCCCGCACATCGTGATGGATCGTGTTGCATGGTGGTTCCTAGGCGTTTTGGTTGGGGGCAATGAAGGTTATCGCCTTCTATCTCTTGGGTTTCGCCTAGGTCGAGTTATGTTGGTGTTGTCGATAGTAACAAACGCATGTGGATCTAAAAGGATGGGGTATTCTTTTTGCACCCGATGTCCGGCATGGTGGTCCCACACCCAGAGATAAAATATTTAGTGTCAGACCTCGCGGTCGTATCACGCATGAGTTTTAAACGTTTCAGCCAAAGACCAATTCGACCCGGCAGGCGGATCCCTGCTGAGCTACTCACCCACGTGCAAAAGCTTTTACATGCAATCGCGGAGGTAGGTCAGTTCAGGGAGTTTTTTCGATCGTTGTAGCCTAGGTATATGTGCGGTAAAACGCCTAAGACTGACACCTATACATGTCGAGTACTGTAACGCTAATCTCCCGGATCGACTTACAAATCAAGTCAACTCAACTGACGAACGTTCACGCATACTATGCTTTGATTACAAATATTTTCAATAGTTATGACTCACAACCTAACCCTTTTCAGGACCACGATCCCCTCAATGCTTGAATTATCAGGGAGTCGTGCATCAGACATATATCCGTTTTACCTAGTGGTGAAGTTCATTTAACATAACTCTTTATGAAAAACCTTTGTCATATCACACGTACATATGAAGTGAAATAAGATTTGGTAATTAGGCAAGGAGATGTCACGTGCACTTAACACATTCACATAAACAATCCGAATTCATCAGGGAAAACATAAGTCATTGACATTTCAAACGGGTATAGATGAAATGAATATGAAATAAATAAGGTTTTCATCCTTAACAATAATCATAACTTGTTTAACGTCAGGGAAAAGTGCACAGCGAAGTACTCAAACCAAATGTATAAAATCACGCGTTGATGAAATATATGGATCAAGACCCAGAATAGTGTAAATTTCTCAAACGAGTTGTAGTGAATAACATGTGGACGATCATTTTATTGACCTACAAACAAACATCGAACACATTACACGATTTTAAAAGAGTTAACCATTCATTCACTATCTCCCACTTTGCACTCACACTTCCAAAACCTCTCACGGTCAGACTTTCCTCCTTCGACCCATTCATTCAATAACATATTTTTACCAAAACATAGAACCTTTAGACAATGACCTGAAATTCAGAGATTTTTTTTCAGTGCAGGGGTCGATTCAAAAGTGTGGGTATTGAGAACGGGTGAGGGTTGAATCCAAAAACTGATTTGTTATCGTAAGATAACAAGATGTAGTTTTGCATTGACTTATGTTGAGTCCATTTAAAACAATCTCTTAATGAAGATGACCTGCAAACACACACAGGTCAACGCAATCTTAACACCCTAACTATTGATATTATCCTATATGAAGTTCAATATAATAGTAGTAAATTTCAATTTAGTTGAGAATTACATTACATCGATATATCTCCCTTTAAGAAGCCTCACTAACTTTTTATTATACTAATTCATAGATAGTAGTCTAAAGAGAAAAAAATATAAACCTTACATCGCTAATACTTCCCCCTTCAATAAATGATTCCTTAGTGAAAACATGAACATACAAAATATCATTAATCTGATCATAAATAAAATCAAAGGATGAATATCGATGAAGAGGTTAAGATAGCAGGAAAAACCATGCGGGGTCACATTCCTTATACCTCCACCTTAGCAGAATTAGAAATCTGACCATATAAGTAAATTAGTTTTTTGTAGGGTATTCATAAGAGTAGTTATAGTAGGGTAGATCGCACGGGACCCTTACCCCTACTACATTTTTTTCTTTTTCTTTTAGAGGCAGGTAAGTGAGAAGGCAGACCACACGGGGTCTCGCTCTTCTTATCACCACCTTTCATTTGAATAACACCCTCTGATTATAGGGTAGATTACACGGGATCCACTCCTCCTTTTATCGTCTCTTGTTGCCCAAGTTTTTCGACGATAGGGCATGTCTCATGGGACCGCTGCGCCAGCGCTGCGGTCCC